GCTGGCACTATCTGCAGCTGCACTTAATACAACACGTCATATCTCCTGTTGAAAAAGTGTTTACGCACAAAGGAGATGGAGAAGAAACAAAGACAAGAACGCCGGAATTAAAGATGAAGGCTTAAACACGAAGTCCGTTGTCCTCAAATAATATTTGCGCCTCTCTCAGATTGAATTTGATGCTTAAAGGGATATTGGCAAATGATTTGTAGGATTAATCAAGCCTTGCAATAGAAAAACACCTAAACACTTGGTGTTTTCTACCAAAACTTCAAGAATACTTTGAAATAAATTTGAATATGAAATAAGGAATATAAATTATAGCTTTTGGAGTGAAGATTTGATCTCAAGTTGTTTGAATTTTTTATTTTTTTTAGTTCTATGCGACCACATAGAACAAACCTATGCGGTTGCATAGGTTGATCACTTCAGGGCATATAGACCAAAATTTTGGCTTCCAAATCCTTTCTTCATTCCAAAGCCTATTTTATTGATTTTAAACAATAATTTCAGCATCTCCTTCATTAACACTCTCACATTCATGGAGAAGAAACGAGATAACTAGTTAAATGAAACTAATAACCCCGGTTTCGTGGAACATGTCTTTACCTCGTAAATCAATCTCTCATCACATTGTCCTAGCTTTAAACTCTCTAACTCCTACATAGTATCGCCAAAATAAATATCAAAATAAAAGACAAAAATAAACAACAGAAAATAAAATTTGAACCTAGATTTAGATACATCGCAATCACAAGTAAATATTGGTAAAAACCCAAAAAAAATAAGATCAAAATAAAGCCAATGCAAGTCTATATTTACGTTAGACTAAAGAATTCCTACGTTTAGATACAATGTAGAAACAAATTAGTTTCTAATAAAATCGAGAGCCCAGAAAAATAAGATCAAATAAAGCCAGTGCAAGTAGAAATTTACAGAAAAAAGAACCTCATCAGCAGAGTTTCGAAGCGATTGCTCCGAGACAACACTCCACTCCTTGCGATAAGACGATGGCATCGGCAATGAAACGCCACGTGCAGCGGCATCGCCCGCCGCGAACTCCATTTTGTGCAGAATACTTCACCAATGTCCTCGCTTCCAAAATACTAAAAAAAAGTTAGGCTATTCAAAACCCTAAAACAAGAAAATAAAACGATAGAGGCGATTCGAACCCTAATATGATATCAAAATGAGAAATTGAAATCGGGGGTTCTAAAGGGACTGGAAAACTGAAATGAGTAAAGAACGTTGACGACAGAGAGAGAAAATTGGGTGTAGGAAACAAAATTCTGACAAGAATAAGGCTCCCGCCATTTATAGGGCTTTATCCGATACACCCGGAGCAAGAGTACTTGCGTTTATTTGGGCCCTCATTTAAGTGGGGGCATAACTGAGCCTACAGTAAGGTTGCAGTCCAACATTATGTGGGCTTTGAGAATAGGTGGGTCTTGTAATGGCTATAAAAGGAAATTGACGTAATTAACACGAGATTGGGTAAATAGTACTCTGTCATGGAGTTTTTCTTGAAATATTTTCTTACGAAGTTTTGTTTATTGCACTCTGTTATGAAATTTTAAATTTCAGTGCCACTTCCAAAACTGAAAACTAAGGGGCCGTTCTCTTTGCCGTTTTCAACCCGTTTTCTGTTTTCGATTTTTCAAAACGGTGAAAACTCGTTCTCTTTGTCATTTTCGAAAACGAATTTTTGAAAACGAAAAAAAAAATGTGAAGAAAACGGAAAACGGCATTTTTGCCGTTTTGGGCGTGTTCTTCACAATCTGGAAAACACGGGAAACAAGCCCAAAACAAGTCCACCATTCTTCAGCCAAGAAACACTCCATCGCCACTTCCCAACCCTCTAGACTCCGGCTAACCTACTCCAAAACGGCCGGATTCATATATCATTGTGAAGCCCTCAATCCCCTCTTCAATTACCACACAAACAACAATCTAATCATATACCAGAATTGATCAAAAATATCCTCAAAAACTGATTCTCCTCAGGCAACACCCAAGGTTGCGCTTCAATTCCTCATCCCTTCAATATTGAATCATCAAATCAGCCTCAATCGAGTCTTCAGCAGGCACATAAGACTATGGGTTACATGTCAATTGTATCAATTAATTCAGAAAATGCTCCAATTTTCGAATCCACCGCCACCTTTCCCTCACCTCCATTTCCCTTCGTCCCTTCCCCTCACCTCCACACACGTTGCCGCCGAAGGAATTTAAAACGGTCAATTGATTTATTGTGTGAAAAAGCCAAGCTTGTGGTCGGAAAAGGAGAGAGAGAGAGACGAGAGTAAGAGAGACGGATGAGAGAGAGAGAGAGAGACAGACGGGAAGAAATGTGTTTGGAAGTGAACAAGTTTTCAAGTTTGAGTTTTTCAAAATAATTTTTCAAAATGACAAAAAGAACACATTTTCAACAAATCTCAAAATAGACACTCAAAACATAAAATACAAAACACAAAATTGAAATACAAAGAGAACATCTCCTAAACTTTTATCTTATTGTAAAAATAAGCAAAAATGTAAAAACAAGCTAAATACAAAAAATATGCTCTGACGGAGACCCGAGGTAAATGCAAATTGGTGGACGGATTATGGATGACAAAAGGAAGTGGGTGCCAAGTTTCATAGAGGATATTGGTCATGCATCAAGTCGTTGAAAACAGATTCAATTGATGATACAGACTTATATAACGAATAGTTCTAATAGAGTAATACTTTAAGATGGTCGATTTTTGCTTTTAAGTCTCGGTATTGACACAATACACACATTAAGATGAGAAAATGTTTGTATATGCCACCACATAAGTTATAAGCATGGGAGAAACGCAAGGTAAATATTCAGCTGTATTAGAAAACAAATTAGACTGGTCTCCAAGAGCCTTTCTTCTTTTAGCTAGTTTTGTTTGAGCAGCTCTTGCTTGTGGTTCCTATTTTTTTCATTATTTTGTTCACCTAATTAACCATAAAAAACTATAATTTAATTTAAAAACTTCTTCCTTTTTTTTTTGGTAAATTACATTATGTCCGAGATAAGAGGTGTTAGGCTTACTTATCTTAAAACTAAATGTGGAGTTTAGCATCGCTCTTTCTCCTTTTTATTTGATTGATTTATTTTGATACAACTCCGTGGAGCTAAGACAATATGTTCGTTTTTGTACGATATTCATCATGAATGTATTTGGATAGTGAATATGTTGAACTCTACTTTCAATTTGAAGACAAGATAGACTAAAACTAATTTATCGGACAAAAAGGTAATGCTATTATTGAACAATAAATCAAAGATTGAATGTCATCTTGACTGGTAATGATCATTGTTATTTACTAATAGTGAATAACATTATTAAATCGAATAACGAAGAAATCAAAAAATTATTCCAGTTCTTATTTTACTTTTTGAGTAAATTTATCAAGCTTAGCGCCAAAAACACGAAAAACGTGAAGGACTATTAATTACATAACATAAATCTGTGACAAAAATAAAAAAAAGGAGGAGGCAAGAAAAGAAGAGGAAAATATAATGGGAATTTTGAAATTGCCCCAGTAGACAAGCAATCCTCGTGCATGTTTCACGTTTACAGAAATTGTACCTTTGACTCCATTTTAGTCCTATTTTATTTTAGTACACTAACCACTCCTCTTCAATGAGTTTTATGGTCTGAAAATGTGCAACTTCCTTCCTGTCCTACTCCATCATATCTCCCAGTTGTCTCCTTAATTTTTTCAACTAAAACGTTAGAAGGAAATTTGAAATACAATTTTAGTTATGTCTCGTCTCTATTGAATTTTGAATTTAGACAACGATGAAACTTGAATTTTGCACCAAGTGTGATTGAACGCATTCATGTGCACGTTTTCTGCTTGGAATCATCAATTCGGGCACATGATACGATTGGCAGGTTTTATAATATTTGGCCAATTCACCATTACAATTAATTCACAATGCTCATTTTAGCGTTTAGAATAAATATTGGTCGTTGAATTCTTGAATTGGCATTAATGGAGATGGCCTCGTGTCCACCATTTTTTTCCTATAAATTTTAATAATTTCCAGGCCAAAAAAAAAAAATTGTAAAAAGTCATATTATTATCATCAAGGAAATTAACGTTGATCGAAAACAAGAAAAAGGGTATTAACTTATTGCTTTCAGAAAACGAATATTATAATATAATCAGAACAATAATAAAATCTTAAATAAAAAAAGATGAACTAAGAAATTACATAGTATCGACAGCCAAGGCAGTGTTCCAAATATATAAAAACAAACAAACATGGCAATCAACGATGTAATCAAAGACTAATACTTCCTTGTGTCCAAAGTTTCCATTTCGGATATATTAATTAACAATGTAATAACTACGTAATTTATATTTTATTATTAAATTTTCCAAAAAGACTTCAAGCTTATCGAGTTTATTTACTTTTTTTTTTCTATATAAATAAGTTCTCATGTTTCAAATTATTAATAATTTAATCTCTGACGAACAACCTACCTCCAGCATACAGAAAATCAAGTTGATTGGAAATTTTATTTCGTATATCTCCCCGAATTCAATTAGATGTATCAAAAACAACGTGACAAACCCGCAATCTAACAACCTTATGTCAACTAATAATATCATACTTACAAGAGTAATATTTTAATTAATAGCTAAAAATTCTCTTAATTGGGTAATGCAGACGTTGAATAAATAAAATAAAAATTATATTTTTGCAATTTTGAAACAAAACATTTTAATGTTTGTTTCCTTCAACCTCAGTCTTTATATAACCGGTTTATACTTTACAAATTTTCTCATTTTCTGAATAAGTCGGATTTATTACTATATTGTATGAATTTAAGCAGCGTTACATAAATCCCGCAAAATGCGGTGCACAACGTTAATTTAGCTGGAATTTAGGATTAAGATTTTCTGTTGACCTTTCTGATGAATTAGATTTTTTATTTTTGGTTGATCCGAGGAAGAAAAAAAATCTAGTAAAAATGGGGCATTGTTGCAGCAAGGGCGTTACAGTGGACAACCACGACAATGGTGTTGCCGCCGCTGATCGCCAACAACGGCCGCCGTCATCGGCGGTGCAGACACGGCCCACTGCCGGTAATGGTGTAGTTCGAACTCCAGCTCACTCCTTCACGGCAAGTCCATGGCAGAGTCCGTATCCGGCTGGTGTGGAACCATCGCCAGCGAGGACGCCAGGGAAGAAATCCAAGTGGCCGTTCCCTCCGCCTTCGCCGGCGAAGCCGATTATGTCGTCGTTCATGAAACGACAAGCTGGGACGCCTACGGCGAGTCCGATACCGGAGGAAGGCGGAGAAGGCGGCGAGAGCCAGCTGGATAAAAGTTTTGGGTTTCCGAAAAATTTTACGGCGAAGTATGAACTGGGAAAAGAGGTGGGGCGAGGGCATTTTGGTCATACATGCTGGGCTAAGGGTAAAAAGGGAGAACTCAAAAATCAACAAGTAGCTGTTAAGATCATTTCCAAAGCTAAGGTGTGTGGTATGTGATTCCAATTATTTTTTATTTTTACAATTTTCATTAGTTACTATTAATATTGTTACAACAGCGTTTGATCCTATGTAACAATTTCTTATGCAAGTATCATAGTATATTTTGATTTGAAGAACTCATATTTTCTCATATCTTAGATTATATAGTGTTACCATCATAAGCAACTTATTTATTTGTTTCACAAAATTAAGTTGCTTATGAAATTGAGTTTTGTTTGGCAGATGACTACTGCAATATCGATTGAAGATGTTCGGAGGGAAGTGAAGATATTGAAAGCTTTATCTGGATATAAAAATCTGATCAAGTTTTACGACTCATTTGAAGATGCACATAATGTTTACATAGTCATGGAGTAAGCTTTCTTATTTGCGTCGTTATTTACTAGCACTTCTTTACATAAAATTTTGTGATTCTATTGTTAAAGAAGCATAGTTTATTTTAAAGTATTTAGAAAATACTATTGTTAACAGATTGTGTGAAGGCGGGGAGCTATTGGAAAGGATTTTATCAAGGTAATGTGGGACGCATATTCTTCTCTTATTAATACATTGAATAGTTTATGGATCGGTACTTATGTGTTGCAGAGGTGGAAGGTATACAGAAGAGGATGCTAAGAAAATTGTTGTGCAGATGTTAAGCATTGCTGGCTTTTGTCATCTCCAAGGTGTCGTGCACCGAGATATGAAGCCAGAGGTATTTCGAACTCAAAACTATGTATCGTGTGTATATGAGTGAGTATATATGCATATGAATATTCAACTCGGCTTTATTTCTTGGCAGAATTTTCTTTTCACTACTAGAGATGACGATTCGCCATTGAAGGTTATAGATTTTGGTCTATCTGATTTTACTAGACCAGGTAAAGTTTCCAAATTTGTGCATTCAATCTTAACTAAGTTGACCTATCGTTTTTCATCTTAATTTCCGTTCATGTACTTTTTACTATATCTGCAACCAAATTCTATGGATCTGCAAAAAATAATTTAAATTGTGTGCCAACTTGGACATCCTTAATTTCTGGTTGATATTTCCAAAGGCTCGTTTACCCTGCATAGAAGGGGAGTACTTTTGAGAAGTAGTGATCATTTTTGTGCATATTGTCATACCAGTAGTAAAGTATTAATCCATTATAAAATTGTCATTTTAAGAAACATTTTTGTGTTCTGTGAAGTATAAGGCTTAATGCAGAAGTACATCCAGTTACTCTTGATGAATTACTCGCAAGAAGTATGCTAAGAATGGATGTAAACCAGATTGAATACCGTGAAATCTCCGTTCTATTTGTGAATTTGTTCCTTTCACGCTTTGTCAATCTTCACTCAATATACAAATCGATCAATTCTTGTAAATTTGCAGATCATCGTCTCAATGATATTGTTGGCAGTGCGTACTACGTTGCGCCTGAAGTACTTCATAGATCATATAGCGTTGAGGCAGATATATGGAGTATTGGCGTTATAACATATATTTTACTGTGTGGAAGCCGACCTTTTTGGGCACGTACAGAATCAGGAATTTTTCGATCCGTGCTAAGAGCTGATCCCAATTTTGATGACTTACCATGGCCAGTAGTATCAGTCGAAGCCAAAGATTTTGTGAAAAGGCTACTGAACAAAGACCATAGAAAAAGAATGACTGCTGCACAAGCACTGAGTATGTTGGCCAAATGTTAGTGGCGGGTTAAATTCACTATTGGTCACTAAACTTTTAAGCGAAATTGCATGTCTAAACTTCGTTTTGAACTTGAAAACTTTCTTACAATTTGGTCACTTCATTCTTATCCGTTAGTCGCGTGGTACTCTAGTAATTTGCCAATTAAATTGGCTAATCTGCCACCTTGACTTCTCTGCTAGTCAAACTAACAGAGATAGACGACATAACGAAATTGAGAAACATCTAAGCTCATTGACCCAATTGTAGCAAAGTTTATGTTTACTGACCGACTTGAAATAAAATGAAGTTTAGTGACCATTTTTAACCCGCAAATGGTGTGTTGGCTGATCAACGTGACGTTATTTTATAAAATTGATAAATGCATCTTTATGTGCAGCTCACCCATGGTTGAGGGACCTAAACAGTGTCGTACCATTAGATGCAATGATTTACAAGTTAGTTAAATCATATATTCGAGCCACTCCATTAAAGCGTGCAGCATTAAAGGTAAATAATTACTGTTAAAAGCAGATGAATATTTTTGTTATAATTTGAGATTATTTTTAGCAGTGAAAAATCTGTATGTTTAGTAATTTCTGCATCGCATTATTGAGAAGGATGCATTTGTTTAGTAATTACTAATTTTCCTCTTTGCTACACTATATTGCAGGCTCTTTCAAAAGCTTTGACAGATGATGAGCTCATTTACCTTAGGGCTCAGTTTAAGCTGTTGCAGCCAAAAGATGGGTGGGTCTCCCTCGATAACTTCAAAATGGTTGGTGCTGACCCCCATTTTTATTCATTTTCTGATCTTTGAAAAATAAGTTATTTTGACAGTGAGTTGAGACTTGAGAGTCAAAGTAACCTTTTTCTTTCTTAGAAATGTTGGGAAACAACACCTTACTTAATGTACATTTTTACTTAATTTTTAAGCTTAGCTTATCCTCGATTAGATTTCTCCTCGTTTCATGTACAGGCTCTCATGAGAAATGCGACTGATGCCATGAGGGAATCAAGGGTTGCTGACATTTTGATTTTGGTGAGATGACTTGATATAATAATTTTAGGTCGTTCTTGCATCTGTAACTTTAACATGTCTTTTTCTTTTCTCATTACTATAAAATGAAACACGCTCTTGAGAGAATCTGCTGTACCCACAAACTAGAAAATGAAACAATAACTTTCATCATGAATAGTCGATGCACAGTTTTTCTCTCGCTCTTTTCCTGTTTTTCCAATCCCGAAAGATGCACACTTTTTTCACTAGTATCAAACTGTGGTCTTCCTATTTATTCCCTATTGTTTCAAACTAACAGTTTTGATTATGAATTCAAGATGGAACCTCTGTCCTACAAAAAAATGGACTTCGAAGAATTCTGTGCGGCCGCAATTAGCATTTATCAGCTTGAAGCTCTTGAGAATTGGGAGGATATTGCAAGTGCAGCGTTTCAGAATTTTGAACGAGAAGGAAATCGTGTTACTTCCGTTGAAGAATTAGCACATGTATGCATCTTATCTCTTATAACATCACGTTTTCTGTTCATCGCGTGCACATTTATGTGATGAAATTTTGCAGGAATTTAATTTGGGCTCGACTGCACACTCTTTATTCAAGGATTGGATTAGAGTATCAGATGAAAAATTGAGTTTTCTTGGATATACCAAGTTCTTGCATGGAGTAACGATTCGGTCTTTGAGTACAAGGAACCGTCAATAGCACGGTTCGACTGAGGTATACTACAAGTTGCGGTGGAGGGAAAAATCATTACGTGTTTTTGCTTTTCAAATTTTCTGCTTGAAAATGTTACAGAATGATTTTGGTGTTGGAATTGTGCACAGCAGTGATTTTCTTGCAAATTTACTAGCTGTATAGGGAAGCATAAACTAAAGTTTGTGAGATTTTTCTTAATTTACAAATTACGAATTTCTTACTGTGTGAATGTTGCAAAATGATACTTTTTAGTTGGTTTTAGATTGTTTTTTTTTTCGCATTAAGATGAAAAGGCGTCATCCCGTGCCTTCTGTTCAGTAACGAAATGTTTTGTACATAGAATTAGACGCACGGGACGGAATTAAAAAAGAATCGAGACTTAAAAATCTTGTGTATTTCCAAATACCAAACTTCAACTAATACCCTGTTTGATAAGCCATTTTTTTTCATGGAACTGTGGAAGTTGGAAAAAAAATTCCATTTTCTTGCTTTTAGATGGTTTGATAGACAATAGTTTCTAGGTAAAATATTTTCCCACCCCCAGGTGCCCTTTTTCCTTGATTTGAGGGAAAGCATTTTTCCACCAATTTTGGTGGGAAAATGCAATTCTAGGTTTCTGTATTATTTTTTTTTTTAATTTTTACAAGAATTTTTGATGTGAAACAAAGTCAAACGAACACTAAATTTTGATTTAAAGAATGATTTTTTAAGAATTTTCTTTTTTCAAAACTTTTTGACAATGGAAACAAATTTTATAACCAATTGTGAAAAATTTTTTTTTTTTACTTTAATGGACAATTTTCATGTAAAACAAAGTCAAACAAACACTAAACTTTGATTTAAAAAATGATTTTTTAGGAATTTTTTTTTTATAACTTTTTGACAATGGAAACAAATTTTATAACCAATTGTGGAAAAAATAACACTTTAATTGACAATTTCTATGTAAAACAAAGTCAAACGAACACAAAATTTAAAAATTTATACCAATCAAAAAGTGTGTTCGAGACACATTCTTTTAAAAGAATGTATTATTCAATAGTAGATTGATGGAGAATGTGTGGTTAAAAATGAAGGAAAAGTTATTGATGTGATGGAAAATATTATTTCATTGAAAAATGTGCGGTTGAAAATTAGTAGAAGAATGCGAATGAAAAAAATAATGTATACCAAACAGGGCCTTATTTAACAATTTCATATAACATAATTTCTAATCAATTATTTTCTTTCCACCAATTTTCCACATTTGCAATCAAACAAACCCTAAAAGTTCGCTAGTAGGAAGATGCATGGTGTGTGTGTGGTTTGGATTTAGGTTGATGGGCGTAGGGTCGTGTGCTCAAGAAATTTTGAAACCAATTATGACCAAAACTGCCAAAGATCAAATTGTATAAGAATTATGAATAAATAATTGAGAGCAATAAGGACACGGTTTTGAAGAAATAATTGAATAAATAGTAAGTTTGATATATGACTTTTTTTTTATCATGTAAATTATTGCTGATTTAAGGTCTGTTTGACTGAACTTTGTTTTTGCTTTTTGTGGAATAGCATCATGAGAAAGTTGAATTGAATAAATTAAGTTTGATATATGACTTTTTTTATCATGTAAATTATTGTTGATTTAAGGTCTGTTTGGCTGAACTTTGTTTTTGCTTTTTTGTCGAAGAGCATCCTGAGAAAGTTATCTTACGTCAACTTTCTCTAAGAACATTTTTAATCAAACAAAATTTTTTTTAGAAAATTGTCTAAATATATTCACTAGGATTAAATTATAGGCTTTGTAAAACATTAAGAGCTTGTTTGGTAGAGATTAAAATCTGATTAAAATTGAAAAATTGGCCGTTATTGTTGACTTTTATTAGACGAGTGAGACCCGATAACGACTATATTTTCAATTTTAATTGGATTTTAATTGTTACCAAACGAGCTCTAAACAGGAAGTCCATAAAGGAATATACTTTTTTAGACCAATAAAAATCTAGTCTGTTTGGATAACCTCTGCCACTTGTTTATATTGTAACTAGTAATCTCCATCAAGTTGATGACAAGTTTCAAAAATATTAAGCATTTAAAATCAACTAATCTCTAAGTCAACTGAAATTATTCAATTAAAATAAGTTTAGCTGTGGTCAGAAACTACCATTTAAGTTTTATTTCCATCGACTACGATTAAAAAAGCAACGAATCATATACGTACCAGTCGAGTGAGCCCAAAAAAAAATTCGTTAACTCGATGTTTTAGTTGCATCGTGCTGACATTAGTATGAAAATAATAAGACGAGGGTATTAAAATATAAAGTAAAGACACTTTTTTTACATTAGAAAATATGAAATTAATAAATACTCAAAAGTCAAAAAGATAATTTTCATACGTGGTGTGAAATCAATTGCAAGAATTAAGCGATTCTTCTCTCAAAAGTTGCCCACTTCGCGTGTAGAGAAAGATGATAGGTCAACATTCTAGTTGTGTACAGTTCATCTCATCATTCCAAAATTTAATTCTACGTAACTTTCCGATTAGCGGCGTGTTCGATAGAGATTAAAATCGGATTAAAATTAAAAAAATTAGCTGTTATTGTTGACTTTTATTAGAGAAGTGAGACCCAATAACGATTATATTTTCAATTTTAACTCAATTTTGAGCTGTATCAAATAAGCTCTAGAGAAGCACAGTTACAACGAATAAAAGATGAAGATTATTATGAGTATATATAATTACGTAAAAGTGTTTTATGATATTAATTAGTGATATGCATATTTGGTATGTTAAATTAAATTAGGTAAATATTAAATTTTATCAAATATTATCAAATGCGATTTTTTGAGTAATTTATTAATTTTTGTATATTATGAAGAAATAAATAGGGGTAATTAAAGTACTGTTTTGGCTAAGCATTAGCTGTCATGCATAATTTGAATTCTACATTTTTCCAAGGGTTGTTACTTCTACTTCCTATCTAAATATTGTACGATGTCTGAATTGCATTTAATTAATATTAATACGAGTAAAAAATAATTTATATAGAATTCTACTCCAATAACCAATTGACGATGAAAAATCAAATATCTATCTTGAAAAGAAAAGAAAGTACAAATAATATTCCAGCATAATTCTTAATATATGGCATCTCATTTTTTTTTAATAATTATTAAAATAACATGAAAAAAGCAAATTTATTCATTGTGCTAACCACCCACCCACCCAACCACATAAATTCACACCTGAAAAAAGGAAAGGACAAAAATGGATGAAATTATTATATTGGGACCCATATTTCAACCCCTATTGGTTCTGTCGATCCCACCTAATCACCTAACCTTGGAACATTTGCCATAAAATAATGAATATGATGTTTTATTTAGAGTTTGTTTGAACTTATTTTCTCTTCAAAATGAATTTTGGAATGTGTAATGTTATTTATCATTATGATAATCGAATATCGGTGATGTATCAATCCGTTATCATTCACATTTTCCCCTCTCTTCCCCCTTTCTCTCATAAAAAATTAATTGTTCAATCTCATTATTCCACGTAAATTGACACATTATCAATATTTCATTATCATAACAATACATTACACTTTTTTTTTTGGAATAGTATTTGATGGAGAACATATTATTAAAAAATAAGGAAAAGTTTTAGATTTACGTATAATATTACTTTATTAAAAATGCGTAATTGAAAATAATAGAGAGAAAAATATATTTTAGAAATAATAGAGCTCAAACAAGTTCTTAATTTTTCGTTCTTTAGTCAACAAAATTAACAATTTGATGAAGATTGATCGAACGTAGAGGGTTAAATAGTTTGAATTAATCTCATTTAATTTGTAGAGATTTAAGATTAAGCTATAAATATTTAATAATTGAATTATTTTTCATATTCTAAAATGAAGAAACGGATTATATATAACAAGATTTTGCAATCCTTTGCCAAATTTATTCGAATTTTGAAATAGGATTACAAAAATTTCATAATACAGAAAAAAAAACTACGAATTTACATTTCAATATCGAATCATCATATCAAATTACGTTAACCCTCTAGAGATTTCAATTTTCAAGCCCTAAAGCACAAGAACTGATGGTGGCGGTGGTGGTAGTGGTGGTTCTGGTGTGAGTTTTCTTCGTCGATCTTGCCCTGAATATGGCGGAACTCCTCCACATGACACGGAATATTAATCGGACCTTTTTGATCAAATCCATATTCCTCCTCCGCCGACTTCAGCAACTGCATGAAAAGTGGGTGGTTAATGTATATCACCGGAATAATAAACCTCTGCTGCTCCTTCCCTTGACCCACCGTTATCGCAACACGCCCTTTCGGCACGTTCCTAAATTCCTTCTTGCCGCCGCCGTGGCTGTGGTGGTGGAAATGAATGTGCGGCACGTGTAGATGGAAATTCAGATGATGACTATTTTTCTCTCCACTACGCATTTTAAACAGAAAACAACCAAAAAAAGATATCAAAGAAACCCCTTTTGGCGTGTGTGTGTGTGTGTGTGTATACAAATTAAGAAGAAATATTAGAAGAAAACAAGAGAAAATGGCCAAGGATCTGAAGCCGAGATGGCGAGTGTGAAAAGGGTTAAAGAAGAATCTGTCAAAGATTTAGGTATATTGCTCATCCTATTCTATTCTACAACACATATGAGTTGAAGAAGATGAAGAAGAGGGATTCGCAGAGAGAAGAGGGGTGTATATATATTGAGCTAGATTAGATAGAGGATGTAGATATATAGAGACAAAGGGTGTGTATGTATATGTAGGGCTTCTTAATTTATACGCCAAGGTATTTTCTAGGAAGGAAGAAGCTACCGGTCGAGGGTAATCCGGGAAATTTTCAATAGATTTACGGCAAACCAAAATGAGAATGGTTATACTCACAGCATATTGTTTTCATAAACGTATTACGATTGCACAAGTCTTTAATCGTTATCTTTTTTTCTATCATATTATTATTCTTAATTTTTTCACTAATTAGTAAATTTTGTCTTTGACAACGATTTTTCATCCTTTGATTTTGTTTTCATACATTAAAGTAATGGACAAATATTTAATCGGAAATTTTTATTCCTTATATTTTTGCTTATTCTAAAGTAAGAGGAGCAAATAAACTTCTGTTTGGTGTAGATAAAAATCAACATTTTAATAAAATTTAACCCTCGTTTGACGAACTTCGAAAAGAGGCTTTTTTTTTTTTTTGGAAATGAGTTTTGAAATAGTACTTTTTTGGAGAATGCGTGATTGAAAATGAGTTTGAGAATTTTTTTCTAGAAACGGGGGCTTAATAAAATTTGATGAAATGGGTGAAAAAAAGTTTATAAAAATTACGAATTCCACGGAATATATTGTTAAAATTAATTTTTAACTTTGACTTTAATTTGTATTAGTTTTCTAAACTATACCTTATAGGGGCTAAATCTTTTTGCTCCCTCATAAAGGAATTCTTGAACAAAAATTGTTGTCGAGAAGGAGACGTGTTAGTTAATGAAATGTTGAATATGAGAATGCAATGAAAAAATGTCGATGAAATAAATTTGACGACGAGTAAAACTTGTGGACTTATCATTTAATTAAAATGTGGTATAAATATATTGACAAATAGAATGGGTAAGTTAAGTTGAAATTTAACATGTCATATTTACCAAATTATACCCCACAACCTTTGTCGTGATATTGCTCTGTGCCACCAACCTTCGAACGCAAGGTTTTAAATTTGTGAGGTGGATTATCACTTGACCATATTCGTAATTTTGAACGTTAAAATTGCATGAGACTTTTAATTAAAATTTGGTAAGAAAAAGTTAAGTGGGTTGGTTTTATTCAACTTCAAATCACGTGAAAGTTATGTTCAATTTTAACATTCATATTGATGGTTTATGTGAGGACTTGATTCACAAATCTAAATGGGATTAGGACTCAGGACTTCATGTTTGAAGGTTGGAGATACATAGCCACGATATTTAAAAAGGTTGTGGAGCCGTGCCATAATTTCCCCAGAAATATATATAATAACATAATGAAGAGAGCATTGTCTCAAAGGAGGTGCAAGGGAATGACAACCTTCAAACCATCTCATGCACTAAATAATGGGAAATATTTCTTTTTTGCTATAAAGATAAACATATTTATTGATAATTCATTCAGAAATGTTTTGCGAAAATTAGGTGTCATTGACTTTATTTAATTTGGATTACAAAAAAAAAAAAAATGGAAATTAGGCCTAGTCGACCTTCACTTTTTCATTATTTTATACGTTTATTTAGTGTAACTTTTTTTTTTTAAATTTGAACATTATCTTTACTATCTCATTTTCCTTCAGATAAATTTTTATCATTTAAATCGAGAAATGTTTGTTGGCAAATTTTCCATTTAGAGTTGAAAAAATTAATAAAATATATAATGAAAATTAATTGTTGATTTTAATTTAAGATTTAACCAAATAGGCTGGGGATAAAAAGGGCATGAATATCATTACTCAGCAATGTTTTTCACTTATTAATTATTTAATGACCATAAATCTCTTTGACCAGCCGATGTGTTGTATATGACATCATTTAATTGAATGCAGCCAATCAAAAATAATAATAACAATAATATGACGTCATCTGATTCAGTGAATATGCATCATCTCAATTATTAAAGGAGTAACGCAAGCAAACAATGGCACCTATTTATAGGCTGTTCTTTTTGACAAATTAAAAATTGGGCCGCAAGTCACGCTCCTGATGGGCCAGTCCAGACTGATTTGTGGATTCTCTTCCCATGCTTTTCTCTCGGGAAAAAGTTATTCATGTGCTCTTCAATCGTGACCGTTCATTTTCATAATATCAATTAAATTTGTAATCTTGTTCCTCCATATTGCCTTGCAAGATTGACAACTCAAATTCGAGTTATTTTTAAGTTTTGGCCTTAATAAATTCAAAAGATATCTTGTCTATTCAGTTGGTTGACAACCCTTTTAGTAGGTTTACGCAAGTGAATCATCTGCAAAAAATTATGTTTCTTTTAACATATGTTACTAATATTACATCACTTTTGCAAACTAAACGTTTGTTAGGCTACGTATGTCTTACGACCACCTAAACTGTCAATTATCTTAAGTTAACTTCTATCGATATCATTTTATGAGCTTGTTCAGTTTCTATTTTTGTCAAAAAATAAAAAGTATTTTAGAATAGTGTATTAATGGGAATATGTGGTAAAAAAATAAGAATTTTTTTTTGAATTTGCATATAATATTATTTTATTAAAAAATATGTGGTTAAAATACTAGTCAAGAATGCATTTTTTACCAAAAAAAAAAAAGGGCTCAAACAATGACTACGACTCTACGAGATTGTAATACATCTGTCTACCTAATGCACTCATTTCCACATCCTTCATTGGATGGATACTTGGTATCTTCAAACTAAATACAAAATACACTAAAACCTAATATTCTCTCAATTTATTTTTATTTAGAAAAAACTGGTTTCTTTTCCAAAATAATAAAGTAGAGAATTGGATCCAAGGTGAATGTAGGGGTTTGAAAAATGCAACTTTAGCATTTTTATGGCCGACAACGGCACAAATCATGTGGAAAAAAGGATGTTACATGCTCCACTACATAAAGATTTGTAATGATACGCTTACGCTTGACTAAAACTAAGCATAATACCTTTATTCTATTCAATTAATTTCTGTAAAGTTTTTTCCAAAAAAATTTAAACCTATTTAATCGTTCCAAATTCAGTCGATAATTTTCCCAAAATACAAGTTGATAATCCACTTAATTTATCGTATTTAATTTGTGTGTATAAGTTACGTGCTTCACTTCTATGCTTAGAGGCTGTCTGGGAGCACTTAATTCAGCTCAAAAAATTGCTTTGTGTACCATTGAACATGAAGACAAGCAGCCATTGTTGACTTATTGTGTCACGGGTGGGGCCCAGCTTTAGTAGTTAACGGTAGGAAAATCAATTTTCTTGACAATTTAATCCCCCCAGACACAGCCTTAGTGTTTGATACTTTGCTTAGTCGAGAGCTACACTACTTCTTCTACAAAAGTAATATTATTCGCAGTCGCTTAATACTGTAGTCACTTTACGTGATATACATGTGGGGGTAGAGGGTGCTAGAAGGCTTACTCACCTTTTTGTTTTAAATTTTTTTGTACGTAACATAAATAAGAGCATATCACATGCGCAAGTTGAACCCTCCATGTACTAGCTCATTACAGACTCCTTTTTTTGCCCAATCCTCAATCCTGATTTGTTTCTAACAAAGTCCTTGTCAAATCGTCTCGAGTAGATTTGGTCGAGTTTAGCAAATCGGTTCGGTTAGCTCCTCAGTTGGAACTTGTCCGTCGAGTTGGGTCATGAGTTAAGCCACCAACAGGGCCGGACTTGAGGAGAGGCCCAAGAGGCCTCCGCCTCAGGCCCAAATTTTTAGTGGCCCATTTTTTTTTTCCCCTATAACCCTAGCCTTCAACAGTTCAACCTTCAGGCACCTCCTGTTGAGAGACGAGTCCAGATTCCAGACGGAAGAAACGGCAGTGGAAATTGGAAGTTCCGAGGTAAGTGATCTGGGTTTCAAATAAGAAAGAAAATTGATATGTATTTTGTTCTTTTACAGCATTCATGATCCGGGTTTCACTTATTTTGTCCAAGAAATTATTTTGATTTTATACATTCCCTTATTTTCCACTATATCAAATTGATTTACATTATGATTAAGTTGCGTTTTGTCCAGAATAAAATGATTGTTTGAGTTAGCAGTACCTTTTCTAGTCAAAAGACAACAATTCTAGGAGGTCCGAGGTCGGAGGTGCCAAATATATTTTAGATAATTTTGACAATTGCTATGCCCACATATACTTTCAGATAACGGATGTGCACAACTGGATAATATATTGTAGTATGAGGTTAGTTGTTGCTTTTCAAATCTATATTAACTCAGAATGCAACATTATGTTCTAAATCACAATGGTTGTGTTGAGTGAGGGTTAGGAGTTAGGACTAAACAAAGTCCTTGTCAAATCGTCTCGAGTAGATTTGGTCGAGTTTAGCAAATTGGTTCGGTTAGCTCCTCAGTTGGAACTTGTCCGTCGAGTTGGGTCATGAGTTAAGCCAACAACAGGGCCGGACTTGAGGAGAGGCCCAAGAGGCCTCCGCCTCAGGCCTAAATTTTTAGGGGCCCATTTTTTTTTTCCTATAACCCTAGCCTTCAACAGTTCAACCTTCAGGCACCTCCTGTTGAGAGACGAGTCCAGATTCCAGACGGAAGAAACGGCAGTGGAAACTGGAAGTTCCGAGGTAAGTGATCTGGGTTTCAAATAAGAAAGAAAATTGATATGTATTTTGTTCTTTTACAGCATTCATGATCTGGGTTTCACTTATTTTGTCCAAGAAATTATTTTGATTTTATACATTCCCTTATTTTCCACTATATCAAATTGATTTACATTATGATTAAGTTGCGTTTTCTCCAAAATAAAATGATTGTTTGAGTTAGCAGTACCTTTTCTAGTCAAAAGACAACAATTCTAGGAGGTCCGAGGTCGGAGGTGCCAAATATATTTTAGATAATTTTGACAATTGCTATGCCCACATATACTTTCAGATGACAAATGTGCACAACTGGATAATATATTGTAGTATGAGGTTAGTTGTTGATTTTCAAATCTATATTAACTCAGAATGCAACATTATGTTCTAAATCACAATGGTTGTGTTGAGTGCTAGTTTAGAATCTGATAAATTGTTGTAACCTTGGTATTAAAATTCGGATTACCAGACTAAATTAACGTCACATTATACTTGGCTTTAGATTTTGGAAGATTTTATCTAAATTTCAAAATATATTTGTGTTAATCAAGGTTTAAGTATGAAATGAGCATAAGGGGTAATATCTTGCTTCAAGTGATTCTCTGTTTTATCAACCGATTTTGAGGCTTGTCTAGACAGATAGTGCTAACTATTTGTGTTTTCTAATTGCTGGAGCAGATCAGTTTTCAAATTGGACGAACTTGGTTTAGAGATATTGAAGATTGCCCTACCTGCTTCTCTGGCTTTGACAGCTGATAGTGTGTTTCTAGGTTAGTATCACTTCTCTCTTTTTGCATCGAACATTTCTCAAATGAAGTGGGCTGAATAGGGCTATTTTATTGAAATTTTTTTAATTAATGGTGATAAGCTTGGCTTGGTTAAAATCTGCACCGTTTTTATTAAGGAGAGGAGCCATAAATCTACACCGTGAAGGTTGAAATTTAAAAAAACTTGATCATGTTTCACATTTGTAAGCATATAAAAAATGATTTCTCACCTATGGTGGGTAAAATAAAACATGCTCACCGCTGACGTGACGTGTCACGTCACGTCAGCAAGGCTATTTTATTGAAATTTTTTTAATTAATGGTGATAAGCTTGGCTTGGTTAAAATCTTCACCGTTTTTATTAAGGAGAGTAGCCTTATATCTACACCGTGAAGGTTGAAATTTAAAAAAACTTGATCATGTTTCACATTTGTAAGCATATAAAAAATGATTTCTCACCTATGGTGGGTAAAATAAAACATGCTCACCGCTGACGTGACGTGTCACGTCACGTCAGCAATCAAGCCTACGATTTCTGACAATTCGAAGTAAGCCTACATTTTTTACAATTTAATGTTGAATTGTCAAAAATTGTAGGCTTGACAATCGACGTGGTATCGTCATGCATGTCAGCGATGGGCAAGATAACCCCTACCCAATTGAGGGTGTGTTTGAGCCACATTATTTTGGAAGAACGTATTTTGAAATAGTAGATTGATGGATAATGTGTGGTTGAAAAATAAAGAAAAGTTATTGATGAGATAGAAAATATTATTTTATTGAATAATGTGTGGTTGAAAATGAGTAGAAGAATGATAATGAAAATTTTAATGTGATTCAAACATGGGCTGAATAAGAGGTCATATATGTTTTCTATTATAAGTATATCGACATCAACATAAAAATAAAATCCAACAGATGCATTTCCGCAATTCTTTGATAAAAATTGAGGCAACTTTAACCACATCACGACACCTTCTATTAATTGCTTGGAGATTTGTTTGGAACTAGTAAGCACGAATCCACACCCTTTTTTATTTTCTTCCTGTTGATCAATTCGTTTGAGAAATTTTGATAATGCTGTTTCATGTTTGGCTACACGGATACAACTGTTCCTCACAAACTCGAAAGTCAACCTGACCCATATCCACCCTACTTTTTTGTTATTTTTTTAATGACCTTAACCATGTTTACCTTGTGTTGTAGATTTATTTGGTCATTAATATTATTAAATATTAGTGCTATGTCAATATTCCCACTAGCTAGTTTTCGTAGTTTATGCCATTTCTGTCAATATTCCTAACATTAAAGTATAAACTGCAGGAAAAGTTCTCAACTTGAGTCCAACCCATTAAGTAGATCCAACCCATCGAAGTGGGACTTTTGTTTTTGGTCCATCAAATTAGAAGATAACTAGGCCCAAAAAACCATCTATTTCCATCGTGACAAACCCAGTGCTTCTCCCTTCTCACGATACAATGGCTGGAGGCAAAATTAGGAAAGAAAAGCCGCAAAAGGGTGCCGCCGCCGCCGCCTCAAACCCGCACTTCCAGGGTGGCATACCCTTCCACAAGTCCAAAGGCCAGCACATATTGAAAAATCCACTCTTGATTGACAGTATAATTCAGAAATCCGGCATCAAGCCCACCGACGTCATCCTAGAAATCGGTCCCGGTACTGGTAACTTGACTAAGAAGCTTCTGGAAGTCGGAAAATCTGTCATAGCAGTCGAACTCGATCCCCGTATGGTTCTAGAGTTGCAACGTAGGTTTCAAGGAACCCCGTCGTCCACTCGATTGAAGGTGAATAATTTTCTTTGCTTCTGTTGGAATTTTTTTTATAAGCAGCCTGTTTGGGCTATGATGCAGAACAGCTGCAGCAGGCTGCGAACTTTCGTATTTGTTGCTTTAATATGTTGACTCATTTCGTAAAACTGATAGCATGGATTGGAGCATTATAATTAAAATTAACTTCGTGGAAATTGACACTACTTTTTGCTGAAAAAAAATTGATGTCAACAGTTCCTCGCGTCTTCCAGGCCCCGTTCAATTGCTATTCAACTTCTTTGGAGTAACTTTTATAGATCCTCAAGGATTGTTGGTGGAATTTAACTTATTACATAAACAGTTTGTTGATGAAAACTGACATCTACAGTCCTTGAGGAATTTGTGTCTCCTTTTTGTAGGAGCTATTGATTTGAACGCAGCTTGTATATAAGTTCTCAAACTTCTCGGTAGTTGATGGTTATTTATGTCTTATTCTTTTCATTTTGTTTTGGGGTGGGGGATATAATTTGAGAGTTACATGTCATTGGCTACCTGCCTACCCACATTAGTAAAACTTCGTTGATGGATTTGGAAGTCTTTTCCAGTTTGTTGTTTATGTACTTGAATTGAATTTGATAAAATTGTTGGAGATTTAGGAAATAACGGAATTCCATTCTAGAATTATGTGATTTTAGGTATGATTATCTGATGCAAGTTAATGGACATATTTTTCAAGGAGGCAAATTAGCATGCTGGGTATGCTATTACTTCAAGTCTAGGAAAGCAAATATTACATTTGAGCACATGGTATGAAGTCATGGCAGAAACCGAGTTAACGAAGTGGTGATTTTGATTTTCTTGAGTAAGAGTCAATGTCAATTTATGGCAATTGTTTTTGTCTATATATAAAAATTAAGTACTCCTGGAACTTGTAAAAAGTTGGTGGAAATTTTTTCTAAAAACACTCTGACGGTCAAGTCAGTAAATGGTTATAAAATTTGTGAAAAAGAATTGAATAAGGAATTTAGAGCGTATTTGTTGTGTAACTTGACCATACTTAGAGGCTTGTATTTGTTTATAGTTAGTGGACTTTCCATGTTGAAACGGGGATGTTTGACTAAATATAAAAGCTCCTTAGAAAGAGTTTCCCCAAAGAAGCTCATTTGAATGAGCTTTTAACTTTAGCTAAACATGCCAAGTGTCTTGTTCGAATTGGACTTAGCTCCTAATTATGATGATAATAGATTATATCAATTTAGTTTAGTAGATAGAATTTAATCATTCATGAGATTGATTTTTTTTCCACAACAAATGTTGGTCTTATTGTGGATAGATTTTAACTCTCTTAAAATCTCATCCAAATTGATACCGCGATACAATTCCATCACAATAGATAATAGGATAACATCTTAATCTCATCCAAATTGATACCGCGATACAATTCCATCACAAGAGATAATAGGATAACATCTTAAGATTCTATTCCATGTACCTATGTTAACTATGAAAAATGTCCTATAAGGTTCTAAGATTTGCTCAGTTATGTTCTTAAATATCTTCTTGATCAATTCTCTTCTCAAGTTTTACTATCCTTTTACTGACTTAAGTATCGGAGTTACTCCATGGAATATCTCGCCCTATTTTTGCGTGTGATGTTCTTGAAGTGATTCCATATGTTAGCAAAGACCTTTCACAGTTTCACAGAATTGACATTGATGTATTTTTGATGAAAATTGATATTATTAGTTCTTGGGAATTCCCAGCTCTCTTTTCATGGTTGCTATTCAACTTTCATGGAGTAATTTTTGACATTTTATTGATGATAATTGACCTCAATAGTCCCAGAGGAACTGCTCGCCCCCCTTGTTTCACCTGCTGTTCGTCATTCTCAGAGTAATTTGTGCATATCATAATTTACGTCGACATTTTGTTGATGAAAATTGATGTCAAATACCAAATTGTTGTTTGCCACCTCTTAGAAATCTGTATTGCCTTTTCTTCCAGATTTCTTTTACGTACAAATGCCATATTAATGTTTACCACTTCATGATATTACTTATTTGACTTCTGCAAAAGATGTATGGTCTGCTAACTGTTTTCAAAATAGTTGTTACTGGAAAAAAATGATAGGTAAGACAACTTGTGTTGATCTGTTTATTTTTGACAATTTTAATGAATAATTTCAGTAATAATAGTTTACTGCTGATCTGGAATGTGTTATTCGTCATTCTAAATAAGTAGTAGAACTGAGCATGTGTTGTAATGTATCTCCTGCAGGTTATACAAGGAGATGTACTGAAGTGCGATCTTCCATACTTTGACATTTGTGTAGCAAATATCCCATATCAAATTTCGTCCCCCCTTACTTTCAAATTATTGTCTCATCGCCCATTATTCAGGTGTGCGGTAATAATGTTCCAAAGGGAATTTGCCATGAGGCTTGTTGCTCAGCCTGGTGATAACCTTTACTGTCGCCTGTCTGTGAACACTCAACTGTTGGCTCGGGTAAACCACAACGATTTTCACCCTTCCTTGTTGATCAGGCCTCCGCCAAAGGTTGACTCTTCTGTGGTCAGGATTGAACCAAGGAAACCACTTCCTGCGGTGAATTTTAAGGAATGGGATGGTTTAGTTCGGATTTGCTTTAACCGCAAAAACAAAACTCTTGGTTCAATATTTAGGCAAAAGAGTGTCCTTTCGGTGCTAGAGAAGAACTATAAAACCTTGCAAGCATTACAGCTTTCTCAAGAAGGGTTGTCAGATTCTTCAGAAATGGCCATGTGTGTCACTGCTTTGGGAGACACTCTTGGTGACTTTAGCATGGACACTGACGAAGGGAGAGATGACGAGGATATGGAGATGGATGATGGGGATACAAAAGCTTCTGATTTTAAAGAAAGAGTTTTAGGTGTGTTAAAGCAAGGAGGTTTTGAAGAAAGAAGATCTTCCAAACTCGCACAAGCAGATTTCATGCACCTACTCTCCTTGTTTAACAAGGCGGGTATTCATTTTTCTTAGTTTCTAGACAAATTTTAACTATTTTTGGTTTATTTTTCTCTCCTTTTTTTGTTTTACATATGCCTGTATGAATTCAATTTTGTTTTCTTTGAGTCAAGGTAAACTCTTTAGTTGGAGTTGTGGTAGGATCACGAATGCATTGATAATAAGTAATAGTTTTAAAATTACAATTGAGATTAAAGTTTAACTTTGACTCGTGAAGAAATGAGAATGAAATGAAGCAAAATAGTCATTCTAGTAGAATTCATTTTGTGAATGCTGTTAAGAAATATATGATTATTTTGTTAACATTATTTATTAAGGGT